AAAATGAGGTCCCAGTTTGTTGGGAGCAATATGCTGACTCTCTGTAAACCGCTTAGAGAGGCCTGAAAGGCCTATGAAGCGGTATATAAGTCTACTGCTATTGCTATTGCTATTGCTGTCTTAGATAGTCCAGAATATTGGAAGAAAAATATCCCAATGGTCCTGTAGATTTAGGAAATGTCTTACCTCATTAATACTGACTTCCGCCTCCACATACTGCAGGCCTTTTTGAATTATTGAAATCAAAGCAGCTGGGGGCACCAGAGCACCGTTGATGTTGGACTGGCTGATATGGCTCTCGATACCGAAGGTAAATGCTGAATGAGAAAACCCTAAAGACAAGGGAGAAATTACAGAGATGTTTTCATTTGCAGAAAGAGCACGCTGTCAAATCACAAGCAGCAACAACAACATCCCCTGGAGAACCATATGGAAGAAGATTTGAGTGATCAAAGACTCCATGCTTTATTTTACTCTATCCTTAAAGCGTTCCTTTACTCCTATGTTCCGTTTCTGGATTAGCAATGGGAAAGGGATAATATTGGGTGCTATTTTAAGAAATACATTCATGGAATTCAGTGAATTCAAACTTTATTTAAATTCTTTCTATCTTCTTCTTTCTGATTTCCTTTTGACAGAAACTAGCAGGGCACTCCTGCAATCCCAAAACAGAATTAGCCCCAAATAACCTTGTAATAACAACTCGGAAATGCTATTGCCATTCTTCTTAAATGTTCAATCCGAGTTAAAGGATGGCCAAAGAATTCTGATTGCTCCTATATCCTCTCAAATCATGTTTACCAAGCCCATAGTTTGCTATCTTTCTTTAGAAGCACCAGGTTAGATCAATCTCCAGGTAATAGATACCTTGATTCAATATTACACTTCCATTTAAATTTTGCATTAGCTATTTCTTTTTATATATCAAATTATATATCTCTGACACCAGAAAAACAAACTCATATGGTTAATAATAAAAGCCCAAGAAAGAACAGGAAAATGTCAATCAAGACTATATCAAGTATTGTCAAGCAATTAAAAACAACAGAAACCAGAATGCAGTCTGAGAAGCAAAAAGCTACTTGATTGATCATATGTCATCAAGTCAGTGTGAACCGACATGGAGTTTTCCCTCCATAATGTTGAAAAGAATAACACATAAATATAAGTTTAAAGTTCTGCTTTAAAATAGAACAATAAGGAGGCATATTTAACATTAGTTAATATTAACCAATCCACTGTTTTAAATAGGTGTAAATTAGGTCACAGCCAAGAACATTTAAGATATAATCATTCAATGCTCAGCAGTCTCAATGGATTACTGGATTGTTATTCAAATTTTCAGTCAAACCTTCTATATAAATTTATGTCCAATAGTTTGGAAATGGACCGTTAGATTCCTTGTAATACACCTAAAACATGCTACTGATATGAAAAGAAACAAGCTTCCAAATGTCAACAACCCATCATGCATCAAAGGAGCCTAGGAAAAAAATCTTAAAACTTTTGAAGAAGTTATGTGTGTGGTTGTTTTGGTGCCTTCAAATTGGTGTTGTCTCCTGACAAAACTGGCTGGACCAAACCCTGCAAGATTCTTGGTAAGATTGCCACTGTTTCCTTCCTAAGGTTGAGAGAGAATGACTGGCTCAAGGTCACCCATCTGGCATTGGGCCTAAGGAAAGATTTGGAATTCACAGACTAC